CGTGTGCTCTTCCGATCTGATAATGATTTTGTTTAAATATATGTAATTTTAGCACTAATTTCGTGCAAGGCTCACTTGCCCTTCATTTGATACTTCTTAATTTTTAATTATATGAGCCAGAGTAATATATTATATTTCTTTTAGTAAGTTCAACAAAATAATGTAATTATTTTGGTAATTTTATTCAATAAATTCAACGAATTAATATCGACGTGTTAGTTTAGTTGGTCACATATCAACACATATAATTTTGGTATCAGTAACAAAATTTTGGTTGTTTATACTAAACTTTTCTCTCAGTGAGTTACGGTCACTTTTGTGTCGAGTCTCTCCTTGAGACTTGCATCGAGACGTTCTCAGGTTGTTGAGAAAAACATCACGTGTTAATATGAATTAATAGCCACTTGTGTGAAAAACGTGTTTGAAACAAACGAGAGAGAGGTGCCTCTTTTTCCGCGTTCTCAAATAAATAAAGCGTTGTTTATATACGCGGCGCGGCTCTCTTTCCCTGAGACTTTTGTCCCCGGGGTGATTGCGATCTTTTTTTACGTTAAACTCTTCAATACATCCAGGATGGTAACCGTTCGACGCGATTCGACGCGTCGAAGAGAAGCCGCGTCGTTAGATCCGCGGCCGCGCTCCTTCGCTTCCTAGAACCTAACGCACATAGGCGGAGTCACGCTCGCGTGTAATTAGAGCGGGATGCATCGATTACGGTGCTATCTTCCGTAATAATCTCTACACACATCCGGAAGAATACAGTGAGAAATTACATAAATGAATTAGTCATAAACGAGCGTGTATGCTGCGAGACGGAAATAATGCACGTGCGCGATTCGTAGGCATCGTCCATACAGATTGCTCTTCATCTCGCGGGCTATTTCACGCGACCGAGATAAGAATGACCATTCTTATGAACAGTAGCCGCTGCAGAAAATAGTAGAACATTTGCAAACAGAAGGAGAGAAGAGAAAAGAAAAAGACGTTTACATTTTTTGCTTGTTTCTCCTTGTAAAAAAAAAACGTGATATTCTTAGACATATGACATTATACAGGGTGTCTCAAAAATATCGCACTGCTAATGGCAGATTCTTAAAGTCGTTTTAATTTAGAATTATCAAAATTTTCATCTCTAAATGATTTCAAGAATCTACCATTAACAGATGATGCAATAGATCTGGAACGCCCTATACAAACTGCAGTATTTCATATGCCATAAACGGAAAGAAAAATTTTGCTGAATTTTATATAAATCAATAAAAATAAATAAACATAAATAAAAATAAATATAAATAATCAAAATAATTTTGTGCGAAAGTCAAAATGATTGCTAGAATAGCAAAACGTTTTATAGCAATGCTTATCAGTTTTAATACTCCAACAAATTTTTTTGAAGATTCAACAAAAAATTATTTTCAGATCTGTATTTAGCAAAATTTTTTGACCTTTCAACAAAATTGTTCTTTCCGTGTAAGGTACAGCAGGATAACTTGAATAATTTCAAACTTTTTGAACAATTTCTCGAAAAGTAATAATTTTATCCTTAAATTGAATATGTAGCAGAAAACTCACATGTGTTTAAAGAATATTTGAAAATATATGAAAAATTATTCTTTAAATCTTTAAATCTTTAAATCTCAATATATGAAAAATTATTCTTTAAATCTTGAGATGCAACGTCATTATCCGATTTACCCTACAATTTTAACGAAAATCCATTTTGAGGGGTACTTTAAATAACATTGAAAATGAACATTAATATTACAATAAAAACCAAATCTTATATTTAAATATTTTTTTACATTTTATTATATTTTCCAAATCAAATTAAACACAAATTAAAAAAACAAAATGATCATGTTAATCCCAATATTTTAAGTATGACGAACATGAATGGACTTTTTTATATTAATATTATAATAAAAGCAAAACATTATATTTATCTATTGTGTTTTAAATATTAAATTGCACGGACAAAATTAAACAGAAATTGTGTATCTATTGTGTTTTAAATATCAAATTGCTTCAGACAAAATTAAACAGAAACTAGTAAGAGAACCTCTGACTTCGAGATATTTAACTCTTTCTAAAGTTTTATAAAACGCTACTAAACACAGCGGAATGTTCAATAGAAGTTTTAGGAACTTTATTTTCACCATATTTGTTTTTGTTTAATATTGTACTTTTCTGTATGGAACATGAAATAGTTTTGCAACTTCTAAAACCGAGATCCCACCGCATCAATGACAGCTATAACGGCTTGTTCCATACTCTCTTTGCTTCAATTCCATCAAGCATTATTTTTTTATAATGCTTAATGTTTGATATAATGATATGTATTTTAAAATCTTTTATTTTTCTGAAATTCTTGCAAATACCAAATTTATCCAAATTTCCCCACTGTTCAAATTACCCCGCTGTACCCTAAGACGTATGAAATAATCTAACAGTAAATCGAAAACGTATATTGTTCTCAATAAAACATAATTAATGCCTGCAAAAGAATAATGTTTGCATAATATTTTGCTCAATAATCTATCATTTATAAATTAAATTGAGAGATTAATTAATACAATACAAATTTTTTTAAATAATTAATTGATGGAACGTTTTGGCTTACTTAGCCATCATCAGCCATCATACAAATTCACATTACAATTAAAATTGATATTATCGACGCAGATGTGTTCTTACGTTTTTGTCACAGTTTTACAATCTCGACTATCATAAATCGTCATTAAATAATACAATGTCTAATTAATACCACGTGTATGTATCAGTAGAACTACGACAAACGTAAGAACACATCTGTGTCGATAATGTTAATTTTAATTATAATGTGAATTTGTATGATGACTGATGATGGCTAAATAAGCCGAAACGTTCCAGCAATTCGTTAATTATTAAAAAAAAATTTTGTATTAATTAATCAACCAAAAAAGTTTTGCTCGTTTATTGGCCTAACTTTTTTCTATTTTATTAAATTGGAAATATCTCGATCGATCACGATACTATTGGACACAACCTGCATTCACACAGCGATCGGTGCGTAGAGACTTTCAAGCGCTGCGATTGCGTTGCGATGATTAACTTGTGTCCAATTGTAACGTGGTCAATCGGGTATCGCGCCCGTGATTAAATTAAGGGGGTATTCTAGTCTAGCGGATCAGAAAAATCGATTTTTTTTTACATATTTTGCAAGTATTTGATATGGAAAATGTATCTGCAAAAGGATTTAGCCCAATTCGCAAAATTAACAAACTTATAAGCCGGTACTCGTAATCGATTCTTATATTTGAGATCATCTCAAGTATAGTCTTAAGATGTTATAAGCCAATAACAGAGCCGTATTAGTATCTTAAGACATTACTTAAAACGGCTTTGAAATAAAAACCGACTTATGAATACCGGCTATAGCACTTGATAGAGAGTGGTTTCAATCTATGTAATCAGTACATAAAACTTTAAACACGTTTTTCTTGAAACCACGTTTTTCAAATTGGTACCCACAATATCTCGAAAATCAATTGACCAATCAATTCGAGCTTGTGCACACATCTTCAGCATATGCGTGACTATACCTCCTACCTCGAGCAAGTCAAAATATGTTTTTTTTATTTTTACAACCCTTTAAAGTTGAAAAAAAAATGGTAAAAATCTAAAATTAATTTTTAAAATAATGTCAATTTTTAAATTTTTAA